TGCTCATAGTAAATGCAGGCAGTGTGAATGTTCATTTGAGGACATGCAAATTTATTTTGATGAGGATAACTTTGAGGAACGGACATTTGAACGACATGTCCGGCAATGTAGCGAAATTGAGAAGGCCAACACAGAGTATCTAAGAAGCAGCTTAAAAACAACATATGGAATAAACAGAAGAAGCAACCTTATTAATTTCCCAGCATTCAACTTGATCCAACAAACACCCCAAGACATGATGCATGTAATTTTTGAAGGGATTGCTCCATTAGAAATAAAGTGTGTGTTGAAACACTTAGTTCTCATGGGAGAGGTAGACTTAGATCTCTTCAATGCTGCAGTGACTGGTTTCCCATACTCTCCAGTTGATATTAGAGATAAACCAAGTGTTATTACCTACAGTACATTAGCTTCCAGTGACAATAAGTTGAAGCAGTCCTCGGGGCAAATGATTGTTCTTCTGAAAATTTTGCCATTTCTGATTGATGCAGCCAAAGGTACTGAACACTACGCATTCATTCTTGAACTCATTGAGATAGTTCAGATTTTACTTGCTCCTGTCATCAGTCTGCAGACTATTAACAAGTTGAAAATCCTCATTGAACAGCACTTGAAGCACATGAAAGCCCTATTCCCATATAACAACATCACACCAAAACAACATTATTTGATTCATACACCAAGCCAAATTAAACGTTTGGGACCAATGGTCCGTCATATGTGCATGAGATTTGAATCGAAACATTGCTTTTTCAAACAATGGGCGTCAAAAATAAATTTTAATAATGTTTGCAAATCTTTAATAAAGCATAATCAAATGTATGAATGTTGTCAGAATGTGGATAGTTTTGATCACCCCATTTTTTCCAATGAATGCACATTAGGACCAACCTCAGAAGTAAGCATAATGTCATACTTAAAAGAAAAAATGAGGGCCTTTCTTGGAAATGATGAAGTAAACCATGCAGTGACTGTTAAATGGCTTAATCTAAATGGTAACAAATACATAAGGGATAGGTCATTAATTGTTTGTGCTGTTGGTTCTAGTGGTTTACCTATATTTGGGCTTGTGAAAAATATCTATGTGATCAATTCATCATTGTACTGTTTTGAATTCCAGCAGCACAATACCATTTGTTATGACAAAGATTACATGTCATATAAGATAGAGATTCCAAACATGGCACAAGCAACGGAGCTGATATCCGCTGATAATCTTATGGATTTCACTCCATATTACAGTTTCACACACAAAGATATGACATATGCAGTCATGAAATATTACCTGTGTGATGTAATTGGACTACACATGGGTTCAACAGATGTTTTATAAAAGGCACACTGCTTTACATGCATGAACTGTATTATCAGGTTATTGTTTTGGACAGTTTTGTTGTTGAGTTTTCTATCAAATCTGACAGTTGAATGCGATTGTAGCATTGCCACAGTGAAGATATGTGTACTGATACTTGTCAAACAGATTAATAGATCAGCATCAGACATGGCCTAAAGTGAATGAGTTATGCCGTTTCTGTTTTTCAAATGGGCCTGTATTTCATGTTTATCATGTGCTTTTAGTTCCAGCTTTTGTGCATGTTTTGTCAAACTTGACAGCAGTTTTATTACACTTTAGTGTCAATAAATACATTTCTTAAACTGAGCAGCTGTTTAAGTGGCCTTACTCTTGAAATGAGAAAAATAATCTTGTTTTTATTAGGGAATTTCAACCAAACTGTTTTCATACCTTGTAACTGGTAAATAAAGCTCAAGATGAGCTGAAATATCCTTTTAAGGAAAAGTTAGACATATTTTCCTAGAATAAGATTTATTTTCTTGTGCAAAACTTGCTTGTTAAGAATATATTTTCTTTTTAGACAAAAAATAAGAAAAAATGTCCATAAACAAGGGTTTTTTTACTTTCTTGAAAATCGTTTTTTGCAGTGTATTTGTTGTATAGGCTATGAACTGAAATATTTAGTTATTTCGGCTAATGCCAAAAAGAATGTTAGACTACGCTATATTAAACAAAAATTGATGTATTTTGACTATATATGGCATGTATTAGAAAACGTAGCACCTGCAAATGTGTAAAGAAATGGCTTCGACTTTGCCACCCTATCTGATCTCCATGCCACCCCAAAAATTTTTCTCTAGATCCGCCCCTGCCAGGATGAGGCGTACGAGTCCTGCGTCCATCTCCTGGTGGAGCGTTTGGTCAACAGCGAAAATGCAACCGTTTTTTGTTACGGGCAGACTGGATCAGGCAAGACGTACACACTGGGTGGAAGGAGCCAGCGAGTTCTCACTCGCTTTTGCGCATGCACAGGACTGGAATGTAAGCATTTTCGGCCGTTTCAATGTGGACGCACAACTCTGTGAAAACGACTGAAAATGCTAGTGTGGACGCGGAGCATTTTCCGACAAAAACGCCGTTTTCAAATCTATCTGGGCTAGTGTGGACATAGCCTGAGGCTCATCGAAGGCACCATCTCACCTGAAAACAGTCTATCAGAGGGTCAGCACATCTGATGGACTGGTACAGGAAACCCACAGCACTGGGACCACCTTGGAACCAGCACGAGTGCTTTGGGTTTACTGGGCATTCTGGGTTTTGGAAAAAGCTTTGAGTGGTCAAAAAACCCACACACAAAAACAGGATTAAATTTATTACATTTTACCTATGTAGCACCAAATCACAACAACAGTCCCTTTACATTGTAAGGTAGAGGCCCTGCAATAATACAGAGGAATCCCACAATCCTGTTAAAAGGGAGCTTTTCCTTCCCACTGTCATAGGGGTCCTGTGGAAGAAAGGGGGGGGGGGGGGGAGTCATTTGCTCCTGATGGAGGGAGCCTCTGTTTACTACACAATAATAAAATGTAGGGCTAGTGTTACATCAGGCTTTTCTGGGTTAAACATTTCCATCTTTTGTCCTGTGAAGTTTGTTAAAACTACACGACTGATCGACGAGAAAAAGTTGGGCTGATGACTGATGACAGTAGGAGGTGTATAAGTGTGCGTTACAGCAACACTTCAGAAGAAGTGAGCGTGCTCCACACTGGTTCTGTGTGAACCTATGGGAATCTGTAAATCTGCTCCTTAACGTGATTAGTTGTGGCTATCTTCTCGAGGTACACATTGGATATTTGTTGTTTCGTCCTGGTTAGTGGCTCTGACACTCACTAGTCCTTGGCCTCCTTCCTTCTTATAACCCACCACAAGGTTCAGTACTTAGTCCTTTACTTTTTATACTGTATTTAAACTAAATAGAATGTATTGATTTAAATACCACTGTGTTTGTCAGTGAGGAAATCCTGGATCAGCTCCTGGGTACTGTAAAGGTATAAAAACTGTTTCTTATAAATGGGTTATTATAAAATTTAAGAACATCCACTATCCATTTGGAAATCAACCAATAAATCATAATAGTAAATTCAGCATAAACAATGTTGAAACTGATGATGGATCCAAAACTAAAGTTCATAGGTGTATTGTTAGATTGTAAATGAAGTTGCCCCCCACCCCCACCCCATGAAACACATCTTAACAGTTTTTTTTCTAAGAAAAAAACTTTATTACACAAAGAGGACTTGTAAATATGGATTGTCTTTAAAAACTCTACTGTATTGTATGTAGCTCCATACTTGCTCTACTGGGTCAACAGGGGGGGATTAACATAAAACAATGACAAACTCAGTATGTTTAAAAGAAAGCAGTAAGAATAGTGTACAAAGCAAGGAGTGGCGATCCCAGTACCCCACTGTTCATTCTTTAATAACATTTTATGAATCAAAAGATTTTAAAATGATACGATGATGTTATTACCATAGAGAGGGATTTGAGGGTCTCTCTGGTTACAGTGTTACTTCAGAACTCCAATAATTTGGATAAAAGGCAGACGATGGATGCCACTGCGGAGTGTCCATGCTTTGGTTTTAGGCTGCTTCTCCACAGACGTCACACATTTACTGCTTATGTCCAGAGTGGGTTTGCAGATGGTTTATTAAGTATCTTTTATGATTAAAGGCCTTTCCACACTGACCACAGCTGAACTGTTTAACCCCACTGTGGGTGAGCTGATGTCTCCGTAGGTTAGTAATCAGCGTAAAGGCCTTTCCACACTGACCACAGCTGAATGGTTTAATTCCACTGTGGAGGAGCTGGTGATTTTTTAAATCACCTTTCTGACTAAAACACTTTCCACACTGATCGCAGCTGAATGGTTTAACCCCACTGTGGGTAAACTGGTGTCTTTTCAATTCACCCATCTCAGTAAAGGCCTTTCCACACTCCCCACAGATGAATGCTTTAACCCCACTGTGGATGAGCTGATGTCTTTTTAAGCTCCTGTGGCTAACAAAACCTTTTCCACACTCCTCACAGCTGAAAGGCTTAATGTCACTGTGGGTGAACTGGTGTGTTTTTAAATCACCCCTGCGAGTGAAACACTTTCCACACTGATCACACTTGAATGGTTTAACCCCACTGTGGATCAGCTGGTGTTTCTTTAAGATCCCACTGAAAGCAAAACCCTTTCCACACTGCTCACAGGTGAATGCTGTAATTCCACTGTGGATGAGCTTATGTGTTTTTAATTTACTCGGGCAAGTAAAAGACTTTCCACACTGCTCACAGGTGAATGGTTTAACCCCACTGTGGACAAACTGGTGTCTTTTCAAATCACCCTTCTCTGTAAAAGCCTTTCCACACTCGCCGCAGACAAATGCTTTAATTCCACTGTGGGTGACCTGGTGTCGTTTTAATTTACTAATGCAAGTGAACGCCTTTCCACACTGATCACAGATGTATGGTTTAACTCCACTGTGAGTGAGCTGATGACTGTTTAAATCACTCATCTCATTAAAACTCCTTCCACACTGACCACAGCAGAATGGTTTAACCCCACTGTGGATGAGCTGGTGTCTCTGTAACTTACTAACGCAGGTAAAACCCCTTCCACAGTGGTCACAGCTGAATGGCTTAACCCCACTGTGGACGAAGTGATGCTGTTTTAAATCACTCTTCCGAATAAAACACCTCCCACACTGCTCACAGCTGAATGGTTTAACCCCACTGTGGATGAGCTGGTGCTTTTTTAAATCACTCGACTGAGTAAAACCCTTTCCACACTGCTCACAGATGAAGGGTCTGTCCCCACTGTGGATGCGTTGGTGTCGTCTGAGGTGGTCCATCTTGGCGAAAGCCTTTCCACACACGACACAACGATGCACTCTGTTTCCCTTTGCGGCTGGTGGGTGAGCTTTGTCAGGCCCACTGCAGTGCTGAGGTCTCTGGCCATTTTTTCCTCTTTGTTCCTGTAGTGACAGAAACTAATCTGTGAACCTGCAGTCCTGAGACAATGTCACTGAATTCATGTTAGCATGTGTATGAACCTGTCTCCTCACCGCTTGTGGAGAATCAATTTCTAAACTCTTCCTTTGCTCCTCCATCTCCTCCTGTTGGGATGGAAAAGATCATCATTGATAATCAAACACAATCCAAACACTTGCTGGCAGTTACCTTTAGACCATAAAGATATTGAACTCTGAAGCTGCATATTTTTATTTAATATGGATGCATTACTCATTGGTATTGATCAATTGTCAATTTGCATATCAGCAAGCCTGTTGTTAGGCAGTGGTGTGTTGATCTCCAGGGCCAGCAACAAGTCTGGTTCAGTCATTTGGCAGGTGTTGATAAACTGTGTGGGAGGAAGGATGAAAGACCCAAATGCAGGACTCACGGGAAACCAAGGCTACGTCTACACTAATCTGGACAAATTTGAAAACTGAAAACGTCCACACTATTGTTTTCAATCATTTTTGAACAGTTGTGCATCCACACTAAAACGACTAAAAACAATTACTTTGCTGTACTGCGCATGCGTGAAACGTAAGATGATTCGACCTGCGTTATTTCTGTCTGCCGTTTATTTACTTTCCGGCTCTTTGAAATGTCTAGGAAAAGCATCAAGTTTTTTAAATGGACTAACAATGAGGTGGAGTTGCTGCAAGTAACACAAAAGTACAAAGTTGCAAAAGTGAGTGAGAATTAAAGAATTTGAAGAAAAGCTATCTGGAGCATGTCCGAACTGATATTAATCTTTGATATGGCTGTCAAAATTGAGAGCAAACAAAATAACTGCTGTACAATGCCGTCCGCCATCTTGGTTGAATTGGTCACATGAATGCATCACATGACTAAAATTCGTCATCGTTTTCAAAAGGCCTGCGTTTTCGCAGGGCACACTGCGATGCAAAACCAGCGTTTTCAAATGTATCCACTTTGGAAAGCGTTTTCAAAAAGGTCAGTTTTGACCAAAAACACTGTCTCAGTGTAGACGGAAGGCCAAAATGGAGAGAAAAGACACGTTTTCAAACGAAAAGGCATTAGTGTGCACATGGCCCAAGGAGTAACTAAGGGAGGCAGCTTTAGTGGCTGTACGAAACCCGAACATTAACACGAGAAAACTGACCAAAAAGTAGAAACAATGAACTACAGCAGAAACTGGGAAACTCGAACTGGGAATCACAAGATGCACGGAGGAAACACACAGCACTATGAGGGAACATGATGGTGCGATGCGACAGACAGACAGATGAAAACACAGGAACGGAACCAGAAAGAAACACAAATAGTCCAGGAGGCCGCGGCAGTGCAGATACAGTTCAGGGGCCGACCGCGTGGAAAGTGGTAGGGGCGAAGGCGAAGTGGGTCTGGAGGCCAACCTTGCGGAAAGCAGCGGCGGCGTACTGGAAGCAGCTCCGGAGGTCGACCGCGTGGGAAGAGGCGACAACGCCACAGTTCAGGAGGCCACCTTTGATGGCGAAGATCCTTGGCCAATAGATCCTGAGTACGACGATGGCAAAGGAGGGCCTTTTCTGGAACCCAATGAAGAAGATGACGGAGACAAAGAGCTTCAGGTGACTTGGATGGCAGCCATCGTTGGTGTGGTTTGGAGGATTGTGGGCATCAATGTAGTTTGGTGGATGGCCAAAATCGGTGTGATTTGGCGGATGGACGAGGATGTGCTGGCCTAATCCGACGTGGACGTATCCAGAGAACAACACTAAACACTGGTCACCAACCCAGGACCATGACAGGTACAGCAAAATCAAAATGAACCGACCCAAAATGCCTCGAGGAGCTCCAATGTATGCCCAGTCGAGTGCTGTTGTGTTATCATTGTTTTTGTTTAAAACTGCGGGCTGCGTGGGCCTGATGTGGTTACACTTTATATTCACACGCTACTCCTAAATGCATTTTTATTGCAGGTCTGTTTGTAGTCGCACATGTGGGTGAAACACGTTTACATCATTTAATGCTACAGAGCCATCCATTAAGATAAAATAAGATGACCTTTATTAGTCCCACAGGCGGAAAATTTGTTTTGTTACAGCAAAAGTGCAAAGTTATGTAGCAGAAATTAGAAAACACTGGAATGCAATAAAATACAATAGAATAAAATATAAATACAAATACTATATACAACTGAATGGGAAAATACAAAAATACAACTTCGTCAGAAGAAGAATTGCACATATAGTAGTCTTATTGCACATGTGAGGGTTTGATCAGCTGCAAAAGTCTTTATTGTGGAGTCTGACAGCAGTGGGGAGGAAAGACCTGTGAAATCTCTCTGTCCCACACCGTGGGTGCCGCAGTCTCCCACTGAAGGAGCTGCTCAGTGCTGTCAGAGTCTCCTGCATGGGGTGGGAGATGTTGTCCAACAGGGATGACAGCTTAGCCACCTTTCTCCTGTCACTCACCACCTCCACTGGGTCCAGAGGGCATCCTAGAACAGAGCTGGCCCTTCTGATCAGCCTGTTCAGTCTCTTTCTGTCCCCAGCAGAGATGCTGCTGCCCCAGCAGACCACACCATAGAAGATGGCTGAGGCCATCACAAAGTCATAGAAGGTCTTCAGGGGTGGGCCCTCTACTCCAAACGACCTGAGTCTCCACAGCAGGTACAGCCTGCTCTGCCCTTTCCTGTAGAGGGCGTCTGAGTTATGGGTCCAGTCCAGTTTGTTAAATGAAGCATCAAAGAATTTCTGTGGAGAATTTTTGTACTCCACTTATTCAAAGTACTCAATGAATCGTTGCAGCCCTAATCCAATCTCTCTGTTCACATGAGATCCAGCGATATCTAGCTACACCTTATCATCCACTCCATCTCGCTTTGAGTGCTCAGATAGAGTAGAAAAGCACTATATAAGAACCAATCCATTTACCATTTACCATCTCCAACCTTTCATCCCGGTTGAACTAAGGCAAAGGTTATTTCATTTCATGTCTTCATGTCATTTTAGCACAATCCGCTTTAAACCAGTTAGAGGAACACTTTCTCAGTAATTTACTCAGTACAACTGTTTTATGAAATCATACATTTTTAAAGTCAGACATCAGCGTGACCTGTGTGTCTGAAATGTTTCTCCCACGGAAAATGTCCAGATGAACAGAATCAACTCTCTGAGGTCAGCTGAGATGAAGGTGGCTCACATTATATCACAGACTGTTTCCCTCCCCAGGACTGCTTTGAGACAACTGACTGGCAGATATTTGAGAATGCCGCTCATAGCAACATCAATGAACTCACAGACTCTGTCATTGGATATATTGATAAATCTATAGACGATATCATCACCAAAACCACCGTCTGCAAATATACAAATCAGAAAGTCTAGGTAATTAAAGACAATCATACTAAGGTCAAGGCGTGAACCTCTGCCTTTACCTCAGGGAATCCTGACGCATATAAAGACAACAAGGAGCAGATCCTCTACCCTCAGGAGGACAGTGAGGCTATAACTGCATCCCAGGCTGGGTTCTCAGGGCGTGCGCCGACCAGCTGGCAGGGGTGTTCACCAACATCTTCAACCTCTCCCTGAGACAGTCAGTGGTCCTCACATCCTTCAAAACATCCACTGTCATTCTTGTCCCAAAGAAATCAGCGGTCTCCTGTCTGAATGACTACCGCCCTGTTGCACTGACATTGTCATTATGAAGTCCCTCGAGCGGCTAGTCAAAGGTCACATCTGCTTCTCCCTCCCTGACAGGCTGGACCCTCTTCAGTTCGCCTAACTACAGAGGATGCCATCGCCCTAACAACGCACACCAACCTCACTCACCTGGAAAAAAAAAAAACATGTTCAAGAATGCTCTTCATCGACTACAGCTCGGCTTTTAACACCATCATCCCCTCAAAACTTGCCTCGAAGCTCGTCGACCTTGGGCTGGGAACACCCATCTGCAGATGGATTCTGAACTTCCTCACGAACAGGCCCCAGGTCGTGAGAGCAGGTAAGCACACCTCATCACATCCTAAACACAGGAATGCCACAGGGATGTGTGCTTAGCTCCCTCCTTTATTCCCTGTTCACACACACGATTGCGTTGCTAAACATAAGTCCAACACCATTATCAAGGTTGCGGATGACACAACCAGGCCTCATCACAGGCAACGATGAGATGGCCTATCGAGAGGAGGTGATAGCGCTGTACAAGTGGTGTCTGGAAAATAACCTGACTCTCAACATCAGCAAAACAAGGGAAATGATAGTGGACTACCAGAAACGACCAGTCAGGGAACACCAGCCCATCAACATCAACAGTGTCGAGGTCGAAAGTGTCACCAACTTTAAATTCCTTGGAGTCTACATCACTCAGGATCTCTCCTGGACCCTTCACACAGACATTGCTATCAGGAAAGCTCACAAGCGACTCTGCTTTCTGAAAATCACTACAGAGGGTGGTGAAGGCAGCAGAGCACATCACTGGCATGAGGCTTCCTGCCATTCAGGCAGGGCTCGCAAAATCGCTAGCCCAACATCCCGGGGCTAGCGATTTTTCCAGTCGGGCTACCAAAATCTATCTCTGCCCTGCCCGTCGGCCTATCGTAGGAAGGAAAAATATATGTCAATGCTTTTGCATTCTTTCGGAAATGTAGCTGGGTAATTATGTCATTGGCATCGGTGAGCCACTGTCAATATGTGACATATTGAAATCGCGTTTGAATTTGCGCTTGTTTTTTGCTTTCACTTTGCAATCGCGCGAACTGTGTATAGAGAGCGACAGCACTGATTGGTGAGTGATCATAGCAGCATTATATTAATGCTGCTATCCTGTATATATTGTACATACTATTGTTTGAGTACTTACGATTGTTTTTTTTTGTTTGTTTTTTTGTTTGTTTTTCTGCGGGATTTGATTCCCTGCCGTTGTAGTGTGTTACTGATGGTGACCTTTGTTACTTTGGTCCCAGCTCTCTGCAGGCCATTCACCAGGTCCCCCCGTGTGGTTCTGGGATCTTTGCTCACCGTTCTCATGATCATTTTGACCCCACGGGATGAGATCTTGCGTGGAGCCCCAGATCGAGGGAGATTATCAGTGGTCTTGTATGTCTTCCATTTTCTGATGATTGCTCCCACAGTTGATTTTTTCACACCAAGCTGCTTGCCTATTGTAGATTCACTCTTCCCAGTCTGGTGCAGGTCTACAATACTTTTCCTGGTGTCCTTCGAAAGCTCTTTGGTCTTGGCCATGGCGGAGTTTGGAGTCTGACTGTTTGAGGCTGTGGACAGGTGTCTTTTATACAGATGATGAGTTCAAACAGGTGCCATTCATACAGGTAACGAGTGGGGGACAGAAAAGCTTCTTACAGAAGACGTTACAAATTCTTTACAAATCCTACCATGTGGATTCATGGATTTTTTTTTCACATTCTGTCTCTCACAGTTGAAGTGTACCTCTGGTGCAAATTACTGACCTCTGTCATCATTTTAAGTGGGGGAACTTGCACAATCGGTGGCTGACTAAATACTTTTTTGCCCCACTGTAAGATTTTCTGGAGGACAGACATTTGTTTAGAACTCTTAAAGCTGTCGAAGAAGCTCCTTTAAGCAATTACTGTGATGTTCCTCCACCTCCAAAGAAATGTCAGAAGGAGTCCGAACCACAAACCGCACGTATTCTCGGACAAGTAGTTGCAGGAGGTGAGCTGGCTTCAAACAAATGATGAACGCACAGAGACGTGGTGCAGGATGTGCCGTGAAAATCCCACTCTAGTGGACAAAAACAGCCTTTTATATGGACGCAAACGCACGTTGCAACTTCTTATCTGGTGCGCGTCTTGTATTTTGACAGCGAATGCGCACATGCGGACCACTTATGTGCACCCGTGTAAATAACATAATGTTCTGCCGGATGTGTTGTTGGTTTTCCCTCGATTTCTGAGTCGACAAGCGCCTTTGTTACTGGGACCAGTCATTTTAAGAAAGGCCCCCATTAGAACCCATGAGAAATGCAAGAAATGCATTATTGCTCAGTCTGCAATATCTTTCCCAGAAGAAACACCAATTGCAAAAGGAACAGCGTACTATGTTGCAAAGAGTGAACTACCACTGGGAAAATTTAGCAGTCTTTGCAAACTTCAAAAAGCAAACGTCCTCGATCTTGGTTCCACTTGCCTCTTACCCGTGACTTCAGTGGAAATTTCAAATTCAGGATCTGACAGAGACTGATTCATGTCCTACACAGTTCTTACAAGTTCATAGAAATGTCTGTTCAATTAGAACCAAGTATTTAAGTTGATGATTGTAATTTTTATACAATGTTGTAATTTGTGTTTCAACAATTGTTTTGATTAATGTTTTCTTTCCTTTACAATCTTATACTTTAATGTATAAGATTGTAAAGGAAACAAAACGGGAAACAAAACATCAATCAAAAAATTGCTACCTTTTTTATTCGGGCGGTGCCACCATAAAGCACACAGCATCATCAAGGACCACAGCCACCCAGCACATCAGCAGTTCTCCTTGTTACCATCTGGCAGACGTTACAGGAGTCTGTCTGCTTAGACTACAAGACTTAAAAACTGTTTTTACCACCAAGCCATACGACACCTGAACCACATCTCACACACTACACACCACAGGATGCACACAGAAGCTGTCCTAAAGTTGCTCAAGTACATTCTACATTCTGCACTGGTCACTCACTTTATCAGTAATCACAAAAAAAACAAACCTCATTCTCCGTACTGTACTGTACTAACTGCCACTTTTAATCTTGTACTGCTCAAATCTGTACTGCTGCTCACTCCTGACACTTTATCTTATGTGCAATTATATTGTTTCCACACTTGAAGAGGGAATGCCAGGAATCGTGAACCTTGTAAACAGGTTCTATTTATGGTAAAATGGTAAATGGCCTGTATTTATATAGCGCTTTACTAGTCCCTAAGGACCCCAAAGCACTTTACATATCCAGTCATCCACCCATTCACACACATATTCACACACTGGTGATGGCAAGCTACATTGTAGCCACAGCCACCCTGAGGTGCACTGACATAAATAGAAAGAAAATAAGCTCTGTAGCAAATCTAAAAACAAAATGGAAACTATAAGTCATCCCAACATCCTCAGACACACAAACATAATCAGATAAATCACATTACGTAACAAATGCCTATTATTAAAATATAATTATGAGTTATAATTGCCTATTTCAAATATCCCAGCTCGTCCAACATCAACATGGTTTAATTCTCTGGGTTGATTAATAAAAATTATGTTTTCCTGCCACAAATGAAATTGAAAACACTACAAAATCCCACAAAGTCTTAAAGGACCTTAGAGCTACTTCCTGACCAACCTATCGGCCCCACAGAGCAAACTCAGCCCTGGACAGACATTGAACAACAAGCATGCAAACAGCAAGATCACCACAATAAAACTCCATGTTTCACCAACATTACACATCCTCAGCTCTAACAGCTTGGACCAATGACTCAGTGTTACAGCGCCTCAGGAGAACAGCACCAACATCAACACCGACACTGGTTGAGAACTTACTAAACCTCGTAATAATCAGGACAGAAACACAGATCAAACAATAACCTTTCCAGAATTATTAGAAACCACAGAGCTTGGATGAATCTTTAATGAATCAGTATAAAGTAAGTCGACAGTGAGACAGCTGCAACACCAACCTGTGTGTTTTACAAAGTAAGAGGCAAACACAAACATGTGACTGAGGTCATGTAAAAGAAGAGTGTGTGCGCCATGTGGGTGAACATGTGGTCACTGGGAACAAAGAGCATGTTCAGTGGGAGCCTTCAGTCACGCTGAGGGTGAATTAAACAAACGCTGTTCAGCTTCCAGGAAGGTTATCAGTTAGCATGCAGGACCAAACGTTAGCCACTGACTGTGAAATACACCAACCCGCACACTGCGGTCATCAGGGTTAAAGGTCACATTCACACCGAGTCGTGTGTGCATATATTAGACCTGTGCTATTTGTGCTGCGGTGATGTGTTACCATCTGTCTGCAGAGCTGGATCCTGTCAGCTGGTACAGGAAGCCCACAGTCCTTTGTTAGCAGAGGGAGCACTGTGTGCTAACGGGTGGTGCTGCTGGTGTTCACTGCTGTGCAGCTGAGAGCAGACTCCATTAGCTCTGCAGGCTGTGCATGAAGCTGTAGGAGCCACAGCAGTGCTGTCACCTCAGAGACTGGACAGTAGTGATTAGTGATGCGCGAATCATGAACAAATCGTTCAATACTCGAGAATCACTTTACTGACTCATGAATCATGATTCACA